TTTCTCACAATAATATATATACATTAATTTAGGTTTTTTATAATTTTTTTAATACCAACATTGCCCTCCTAACAACTTAGTGAACAAGAATGTATTTTTGTACTATTTTTTTTCTTCAAAAATTTGTGTAGAAAAGGTTTTGGATTTTTGATGGACTTTGAGATATATATTTTTTAAATGGGCTTCAGAATGTAACTTTGATGTTTTGAACTTGAATAGAATTGAAATTTGGAAATTGAAAGGAATTTGAAAATTGAATGTTGAATTGAAATATGAAATTGAACGAGCTTGAATGAAGAATGTGGCTTGAATTATGAATTTGAAAAGAAATTGAAAGGAAATTGGAAATTGAAAGACATTAAACTTGAATGAATTTGAATTTTAGAATGAACTTGAAACTTGAATGGGATAGAATTGAAAATTGAAATGGAATTGAATTTGAATTAGAAACTTGAAATGCTTGAATTTGAAACTTGAATTGAATTGAAGTGGAATTGAAACTTGAATTGAATCAAAATAAAATTGAAACTCGAACATGAAATTTGAAATGGGATTGAACTTGAATTGAAAATCAAAAAGAAACTTAAATATAAATTGCAAAGGTTTTAGAAATTTGTCGTTGGATGGACTCTTGAATGGTTTTGAACTGAACAAGAAGCTTGAATTCTCCTTAGTCAGATAACTTGACCTTTCACAGAAAACCCTAATCCCGATCACTTGACGATCACTTGAGTTTTACACTTCCTTGCCCTCACAATGATCCATAGTGAAGGTGACTTGAGATATGAACTGTGCTGCTACTGCATCAAAGCCCTAAGTGAATTGAGTTCTGATGATTTTTCAACCGTGAAGCACTTGACTCAGCCTGACCATTTGATAAAGAAGCAAATCGTTTGTTTGACCAAGATTAGGTTAAACTTCCACTGAATTTCAACCAATACTGCATATACACCTGACCTAATAACTTTGCCTAATCCTTGATTTAATCCTGTAAGACCTGAGCTTGGACCACAAGAAAAATGAAAGCAACAAAAAAAGACACGCAATTTGTATGCACAATGGTTAGGTAACATGCATAATGGATATGATGCACAAATGATGAAAATGCTATGATATGTATAGTTCGGCGATTCAGGGTCAAAATTAGGGTGTAACAGCTATTGTTAAGAAGTGTGACCAATTCTATAGGCATGCTGACCTCCATCACGCCCCAACTAAGCTTCTTCAATCAATGACTTTACCCTGGACTTTTTACTAGTGGGGCATGGACATTTTGGGTCCGTTCCCCATGGCACAAAGCCAGTTAAAATTATTGAGAATAAGGGTTGATTACTTCACCAAGTGGATAGAATCGGAAGTTGTTGCTAAAATCACGACTGAAAGAGTTCACCATTTCTATTGGTAGAAAATTATGTGCAGGTTTGGGCTCCCCAAAGCTATCGTCTCAGACATGAAACCTAGTTCCTCAGTGTTATAGTCACAAGCTTTTGTAGAGATTTAGGAGTGTAGAAGAAGTTTATATCCATTTTCCTAGATGTACAGAGCAGACGCCTTGAGAGGCGACAACCATGTGTTGCGTTATAGGAGGTATCTTCTTGCCCCCAAGTATTCTCCACTCGCCCAATTGTGGGAAACACATGTTGGTCAGAGAGAAGTCAGGGTCACTAGCTGGACCATGTCCCCTAGGAAATAAAGATTCAATGGTCTATCATTGACTAGATGAATGATGATCCTTCCCAAGAAACCTTAGGATCAAATGCCTTTATAGACACTTCTTCCCTAATAGGAGAAAAGGACAGATTCTAACTTACGCATAACACCAAAAGCAATACACTAGTAGACAGAGCTTCTCACCTCGTGTGAGCAGGACCTCTAACACCACTATACATGGTTTCTCTCTGTCGTGGGCAAGCCCTAACCTTTACAAACTGTTCTAAACCTACTAAGGTATTTGAGTGCCCCTGCTCTTGCAAGGGTAACATGCACACCTGTGCTTTTTGACTTGTATATTTTTTAAAATTAATCGTTAAATTGAAGATATTATCATATAGATCATATCTATAAATTTTGATATTAATATATGGTCATTTCATATACCATAAAGACACATGAAAATTAACATAAACAAATACTTTCATATAACATAGTCAATATTTATATATTAGTCTCAAAATTTGTAGGTGTGATTTATATTGTAATATCTTTTAATCCAATTGTTAATATTTATATATTATATTCTATTGTTTGGTCTTTTAAAAAAATGAGATTAATTATTATACGCTATCAGTATAAAAAGTTGTACAATTTTAATTTATCATCATCATACATTGGTATTATTTTATTAGTGGTTAAAATAAAAATTAATTTTTTTTTAACATTTAATAATTATGATTAACTGTCAATATAAAATTATTTTATACTGTCAATACATTTTAATTAAATTATCGTTAAATTTCATTACCATTATCACCCGTGGATTTGAACAATTACTGCTATATTATCACTGATACAAAGTTTCAATTTTTTCAATTTCATATGCATTAGCAACAAGACTGAATTACTTGCGTTTATTTTAATTATCTTTTTGCAAGTGTTAAATAAAATAAAATAAAATAAAGGTGTAATGACATGCAATGTCTCAAACATTTTTTAATATGAAGAGATAAATTCTTTTTTAACACAATAAAAGAAAATATTTATTTATTTTGGACAAACGAAAGAAATAACATCTGTTTCATTTTATCAAATACGAAACTTAACTTTCAATTTTTATGATTAATCATTATTTTCTAATTAAAAGTTTATCTTTTTCTTTACAATTTCCTTAATTAATTAATTTAATTAATAAGTTAGTAACACTAAATAAATAATATAATTAAATTTGATGACAAAAAATTATGATAGTATGACTTATTTAAAATAAGGGTTTTATTGTCAATTCCTTAAATTATTATTACCTTATTTTAACTATTTCTCTTCTTTCTCTTTTATTTCAAACGTCAGCGCGTCTAGACAAGTACTCCCATACTTGTTTGTCCACTTTTGTTAATGCACAAACGGGTTAAAATATAAACGGTATTTTTATGTATTTATTTTTTATTTTAATTAAATTATTTATAAAATAACAAAAAAAAAAAGTAAAATAAAAGAGATATGTAAACCACCATAGAACGGTTAATAAAAGAGAAATTAAGGATCTTTTTGAATAATTTAAAATTACCGAAACAGAACGAAGCGGAATGAAGTAGAATAAAGTGGAATAGAATGAAACGGCACATAAACTTGTTTCATTGTTTGGATATTTTATGACGGAGCGGACGTAATATCTCATTCTACTGTTTAGAAATTAGACCGAGCAAAACACATTTTAACTTTTTATTCCACTTTTACTCTTTATTTCAAAAACATTAAAATTGTTAATTATATATTTATTTTATATAAAACAGCACAAAATCAATATTTTTATAACAAATCAATAGTTTATTGATAACATATCAAACAATTTAGTTATAACAATATTGTTTTTACTAATTGTTGCTTCTTCAACTAACGTGAGCAAAATATTGTCGCTCACTCAACTAATGTTCAACTAACACGAGCAAATATTAACAATAAATTCTAATACATAATGAATGTAGGATAAGTGAAAATAACACGAGCAACTAACGTGACAAATCAAATTATTAATTTTACTATTTTTTTAATTTTTATTTTATTTTTTTCTCTTGCTATAAAACCAATATAATTCAACCCTACTAATATTCTCTCATACAAATCCAAAGCATTTAAATTAAAAAGAAATATAAAGAAAAACAATAATGATGAAATAATTGAAGAATATCACATAAATTAAAATAAGGAATAAGAAGTGTTAAATGAAAATAAATATTTGAATGATAAAATTGTAATTTTATTATTAATTTGTTTCATTCCATTGCATACACCCCAATTTGTATAGAACGAAAAATGAGTTAAAAAATGATATTGGATGAGTTCCATCACATTTCATTCCATTCCATTCATTTTTTTTAAAAACCAAACAATTGAATATAATACCACTCCATTCCATTTCATTCCATCCATCCAAACAAATCCTAAAATTTAAAACAAAAATTGAAAAGGGTATAATTGAAACAAAAAATAGACTACACTAAATTATTTTTTTTGCCTTTATATTTAACTAGCATCTAGACGGACACTTGTTCGTTTTTTTTAATGCATGCAGTAAAAATATAAATAAATTTTTTTTTTTAATTTTAATTTAAATGGAATTATTAATAAAAAGTTATGTAAAAAATAATAGTAATTATTCAATAAAAGATATTGTATAATTAATACTATAAAAATTAATAAATCATATAACCACCATATATAAATGAGAAGATAAAATTTAAAATAAAAATTAAAAAATATAATTTCCGAAAAAAAGAAAAGCTACATCAAAATTATGTTTTGTCTTTGTATAAATTATAAAATAATATCAAATTTTTCTTTATTTCTCGTCTCTTTCTCTCTTCTCTATTTCTCCTTACACCCAAACACACCCTTAACGATTAAAATAAAAAAGCATAAAAAAAAACTCAGCAGCTTGATAAAAAAAAATAAAATGCAGCAATTTCCTCCCTCATAGACCGTAGTGGTATCACTGTATCAGAAACAAGAAGTTGAAATCGCCCCGATCTCAACTCATTTCCCCGGATAACGCTGCCGGTGTTCGTCGGCGGCCTCCATAAGCAGTGATAAACTCATCCAGGTACTTATTTTCTGATGCAATTCTAATGCGATTCGTGGCAAGCAGATCTGCACTCTGCAACCACGACCCCCTTATTACTTTCCGCGATTAACAACATAGAATTTTACTATCCTCCATCTGCGAAACTTTCCAATCCTAAGTAAACCTTATTATGCACTGAATGAATTTGAAGAATTTCTGTGCTTAATGTGATTAACACGTGCCTGTGATTTTTTGGTTTAGGGTTTATTGTTAATAAGTATCAAGAATGCAATTCTTTGGTGGTTCTGAGATTAGTCCATCGCCGCCTGTGTCGACTGCTTCAGGAAACAATGGCCATATGCTGTATGTTTTCAATAGAAATGGTATATGCTTGCTTTATAGAGAGTGGAATCGCCCCTTGCATACATTGAATGCTCAACAAGATCACAAGTTAATGTTTGGTCTGCTCTTCTCACTCAAGTCACTAACTGCCAAGATGGATCCCACTAGGTATGTATGTATGTTTAACTCTTTGATTTTGATTATTATATATGTATGTTTAACTCTTTGATTTTGATTATTATATGTTGATTTCCACATGTACATGATTAATTTCTAAATACAGAACGTATCGCAGTAAAAGTAATTTGAAGAATGCTTGTTCTCCTATAGTCTTAGTGTATGTTCAGTTTATAGTTTTGCAGTGTCGTCAAATAGCAGCTATAATAGTTAATGTCCCGTGAGAAGCAATTTAGTACAAAATGTTGTTAAATAGCTGTTTTAGAAGCACTATAGCACTGGAGCGTATTAGAATTTGAACCAACTGAGTTTTTTCAATTGAAAGTCTGAAATGTACCTTTGGAACAAAAGTAACAATAGGTTTTTTTGTGACAAACATATGCTTGGACACAAACGAATGTCTACTATAAACAAAACATGCTATTACCTATGAAAATTTATGACGTGGTGTTGTGTAATTTGCTAAATTCGCTTCCAAGTTATCACTTATCAGTCTTACAATCTTTACAGAAATAGACTCTCAAGGATAGCTTTTACAAAATTCGCTAGTTTTTTATGCAATGCATGGATAGTGCTTATAATTGATAAAAATGAAAAGCTGTTGGTGACAGAACCGTGGTTTAATATTTAGATTAAGTTTGAGTATGTAAATGCCAAAATGTATTAGAGATATATTAGTACTATCTCTGCTTAGGCTTTTGTATCTAGCAAAATTAACACATGTTAGTTGTACTATAACCTATCTGCTGTAACAGGTAAGCTGGTTGTTACTATAAGTACCAACCCTTTAGCCTCCTCTAAGTTCCTTGAGTTGAAGCACAAACTCAGGATAACTAGTCCCCCATGAGTTTGTGGGTGGGGGATTTAGAGATATATTAGGACTAGCTCAGCTTAGGCTTTTGCATCTAGCAAAACTGACACATGTCAGTTGTACTGTAACCTACCTGCTGTAGCAGATCAACTAGTTGTTACTACAAGTACAGCTAGTTGCCTTCACATGTAACTAGCTCTCCCATTCAACTAAATTCAGTTACAACTGAAAATGAGAAGACTAATACTTATTCTAATAAAATGGACATGTTTATCAACTCTATGCCCTTGCTAACATGTACACGTTGATGTTGTATGATGTTTCTTGACTTCCTTCATGATAAAAAAACAATATGCCTACATACAATACTTTCGGTTAATTTGATCACTAGGAATTTGATATGATATTTGTTTGTTTTGAAGCTTCTGACATTCTTGTCCTGATTCTTCTAGTTTTCCCATATCCCTTATTCTTCAATACATTCTCATCACATGGATATTTTATGCTTTGCATATTTAATATTTGCTCATCTTTGCTTGCTCGTTGTCGCAACAATGATCAACAATTCATGGATTTTATGATAGATATAAGGAATTATATGAATGTTATTGTTGTTGTTCTATATGTTATAGAATGCACTGGTAGGTCTAATCCCTTTCCCCCAACTTATGGTGCAGTGCCGAGAAAGGGAACCTTGGTGTGCCTCAGTTACCGGGCCAAGGTTGTTCGTTTCACAGTTTTCGCACTAATACATACAAACTTAGTTTCATGGAAACTCCTTCTGGATTAAAGGTGAGATGCAGCTATATATCTGTTTCCTTATATACCCTTATTAGATTCTTGTGGATGCAGTTGCTTCCTGGCGCCTATTCTGGAATTTTGTGGTGAAGTACTTCTTTGCACCTTGGATTTTGCACATGTATTCATTGGTTAATGTAGCTATATGGAATTTATTCTTTGCATGTCTCTAATATATGCTAATCACATTTTCTCTCAGAAATATGTTAAGATTTGTTAACCTCACTACCTTAGCTGTGAATGAAAAACTTAGTGATAGAGAACAAGAAAAAGATAAAGTGAGAAATTTTAATCACATGTGTTCGATGATATTTGGTTTAGCAGTGTTTGACTTTATCCATTTCATTGTGGCTTGTAAAGCTGCATGTTGGTCACAGAACAATAAACATTTTTACAGACTCCTCATTGGTTTTTGGTTTGATGCTGTGGAATGAGGAATTAAAAATATGTTTATTTGGTGATTTTGGAAACTTCAGTAAGGGTATTTGTGATTCTTAAGGAAAAGTGGAGAACCCAATGTCCTTTTATTTTATTTTATTTTGGTAGAGCTATGTCCTTTTCATGTGAGGGTGGTTTATGGTTGATCATTTTGTTCAATCCACAATTTGTTTGTCCATGCGGTCATGTCTGGTCTCTCCTGGCACATTGTAAGTTGTCTTATCCAGAATACAAGAATCTATCAACAAACTTGCTTTCCCAGCTCAAGTCTCTGGCTTATTACATCTACATTGGAAAAATAATTGCTGCCATCGGTTAGGATAATTCCAAACTTCTGAGTTTTAGTGATGGTTAATCCTAAAGAGGCCACTAGTTTGGCGGCAATGAAGTTTTTACTAACTCTACTATCAACGAGAAAGAGAATTGGGTATCCTCCTAAGCATCCCTATACCTTCATTGCCCTCCCAAATTCCATATCCATTAATAGGATCCCCTGGATATTCATCACGTTGAACAGTATCTTCTAATTTCCTTGGCATACTCTGTTCTTAACTGTCAGTAGAAAGAAAACCTATGCACCCTTCATTCTCCCCCATCACCAGTCAAAAGCTTTAATTAAGCGACCAGGATACCAAATAGGTGCTAGTCCCACCCACATTTAAAACTTGACCCCTTATTCCCCCTCCTCTCCGTAAGCTCTTGAAGATAAATTATAGTATCAGCTTGGAAAATCTTCAATGGGTCTTTCTTAGCTATTTTCAGATTATTCACCCTCTTTGTTCTTCTTTGTTAAGGCTTGAAAATCTGGTTTAATCTAGACACAGGAAATTTTAAACTCGGTATCCCTCTTGCCATGTGTCTAGAAGGTGAGAAGCTCCCCAGGAAGTTGCTATGTTTGCACCCACACGATTCAGTTTGCTCTCAATCATCTATGAGATGGAGACCATTTTACAGCAGTTGTTAGGTTCAAGTGCCATTTCCTCTAGCAGAAACTTTTTTAAAAATGTTTTAAGATATACTAGTAACACTCTCCCTCAAGCTAAAGCTTACTAAGCTTTGAGCTTATTACAAATATACCCACCAAGTAACAACCGAGACAACCACGTGAGGTACATGATTCCTAGAATTCTTCGATTGTCGATCTCCTAAAGTGGCTTTTGGCCCTCAAAGTAGATCATAATTCACAAGAGCTTATCCGACTTCTTTTCACAACTAACTAGATATAGAAACCAATCAGATTGTTGGCTTTGATTGTTGCATGGTTGCTGGTGGGGTTTAGATCATTAGGACTTGGTGGTGTATGTTCAGTTGAGTTGTTTCACAAGCTGGGGGGCTAGGTGGCAACTTGGCAAGGACTGCTGGGAGAGCAAGATATAATTAATACGTGGCTTTTATTTTTTAGTGCGAAAACTGAAATGAGTAACGCGTGGACCTCGAAATGTTAGTTATGTATGCAATTGCAACATTTATTTAACATGCTCATCATAGGATTATGTTCTACGTGTGCGTTTTTAGCATGGGTGGCTAGATCCAAAGTGTGAATGTGGTTAACAGGTTTATTTTTTGGAAACCACAAACTTTTTTATTTTAATTTTTCATTCTTGTGTTGAGGGGGACTAATATGGCCCCAATCAAAATAAGCCAGTGATGAACACAACTATTTACTCTAGCAATGTGGATAAGCATAAAAGAAATAATAACCCCCAAGGATTGGTCTAGTGGTGGAGGCTTGGGTCCTCAGTTCGAATCCTACTAGATGCTAACAATCCTTGTATTGGGCCAGTCCATACAAAGCTTTGTTCTGGCTTTAAACGGGACCCACGCTAGTGGCCGGTGGGATTGATTCTCTTGGATTAGTCAGTCGCAAGGCCGGATACCAAGATTTAAAAAAAAAAAAAAACTCCTGTTCTCTCAATTCTTGAGTATGTAGTTGTGAGCTTCTGATTTTACATTCATGCTTTTTATGATGTATGATTTTTGTCTGGCATTGGTCTGTCAGCACAATGGTAGTTGATAATTGAGTTAGGTTGATTTCACTTAAATTTTGAGTTTTATTAGAAAAGTTGTGCAAAGTAAGATACACTACTATTAAAACTATGAACTATTTTAAAACTAAACAGTTATATTACAGCAAAAAGTCCACAAGAATTGTCACATATTGTGCTTTGAGAAAAACAATCAAAGAAGCAATATTCATATATTGTTCCTTGTCATACTAATTGTATTGTAACGCTTCCATGCTTCATGCAGATTATCTTGGTAACTCATCCTAGAATTGGTGATCTCCGGGAATCCTTAAAATATATCTATAATTTGTATGTTGAATATGTTGTCAAGAATCCACTATATACACCCGGATCTCCTATCAGGTAACATAATATTTACTTCTGTTGTGTAATGGATTTATGGATTATATAAATTTTTTTGTTTTGCGAGTTGTTCATCGGGAAAGAAATAAAGGTTTTTCAATGGTTTGATGGATTTTCATAGGTCTGAGCTGTTCAATACAACGTTGGACCAGTATGTGAGAGGCATTGCATAAAAGCTGAATGGTTACAATTTACCATCATTAATGATGAACACATGTCTTGTAAAATGCCTTGTTATGCATGGTGGTCACTGCATTATCAGTCACAGACTCTTGGGAAGGCCTCGCCTGCTGTTTATGTTTATGTTATTGCAATAGACGGCGTGACAATGTTAAATACTTGATCAAAATTCATTGCCCAAAATTAAACTGAACAAGAACTGAATTAATATTGTCACTTTGTTTCCTATGCACTGCTTACTCGTTTTGGCTTTTGTGGATTGTACTGAGCCTTTTTCTTGTATAATATGACTCTCTTTGCCAAAGTTAAATCTAATAAGTGCTTATTTTTTTAAGTCAGTCTGAGTTATGTCTCACTTTGACTCGTTCTTGATTGAACCCTTACAACATCATATTTACTCTATTCGTGATCAAAACAAATGTAAGGATGGGTAAGATACACATATTTAAATCTTCTGGACCCGTCATTTGAAGACCCTACATGGTGTCATGCCCTCCCCCCACGTTTTTTTATTTTTAAACATTAATTTATGATACCTATATACCATTTATATTATGCTTTATTTTTGTCAGTTATCTTTTATGTTTGATTTCAAATGACTTTTTATAATAATAATATAATTAAACTTATTTTTTGTTGCCAACTTGTTTTAGTTAAAGTAGCCTTCAAGAAAAATATTATTCAGTCATCTTGTATGGGAAAATAGATAGCAATTTATAAGACACGATGTTCTTCATGAATATTTGTTTTATGGTATATGATGCAATAGTGGAATCAATTGATATATGGTTCTTGTTATATATATTATTTTGGATTGGAATAGAGAATTGATAGGTTGATGACGGTAGCGTGAAGAACCTTCTTTCAAGGTTTTGACGATTCTCCAGGAATTGAGGAGTGTATCTGCAAAAAGTAATCCGATATTATATAAAATTGAAGTAAAACTTTTGTAAGTATGAGCAGGTATAAAATTGAGGTAAAAATTTGAAAGTAAGAGTTGGATTGTGGATACTTATATAAGAGCAACTTTAGTGCAAGGTTGTTAAACCAAAATTCTTTATAGCTTACCTTAGTAATAAGGAATTTGCATTATAGTAGTGCTGACATGGCATATGGGATGCTCTAAAACTAGTTTACGTGCTCTACACAAGCAACGTACTCTAACTCATTATTTAACATAAATAATAAATTTTTATTAATTATTTAACATAAATAATAGATTTTTATTAACCATTTAATACCATGTGGGGTCAAGTTTTGGTTTCTTATAGACAACTACCATTAAAGTAAAAACTTCTCAAATCAACTATAAATTTTTTAAATCCTACAAATCACTTTGGCCCCACAAAAAGTATCTTAGTTTACCCATGTAGTTTACTCCCACTAAAGATGCTCTAAGAAAGAAAGACTATTATAACCGTCTCCGAATTTTCCGCTTGAATAATAATTGGATGCAAATTCAAAAGTTTAGATGGAAGGAGTAATGTTCATGTGCAGCTCCATAATTTCATACATGTCCACCACCTGTTCCTCAGTTAATGGCGTGGCTTGAATGTATTGAGCCAGTCAGTATAAATTTAATTAGCTTATTTCATAATTTCATTTCATTATACAACAAATCCAAATATACGAATACAATACTAAATAATATTTAAAATAGTTGAGCAAACTGTTTTTACCTATAGAAATCAAACTTGAGTTGACCCCTTAAGATATTTCAAGTACTGTAGAAATATCATACTTATTCATTTTTAAAGAATAAATTTTATCCTCTTAATTACTTGATAAAATCAAGTTTGAGTTTAGACAATGAATGAGTTTGGGAAAGGTATTATATTATTCATCTTTATATTTGCATATATAAAAAAAAATCTCTATTTCTGAGACTATATCCGTTTGAACACCAACTTTAGCATTCATACTAGTATCATGTGGATACATAGGATTACCTGTATTCGTTATTTGCATTTTTAATAAAAATAAATACATCAATTATCAGATATCATATATTTAAAATCTTTAAAACATTACAAAGTTTTCAAAAAAGTATTTTATCAAATTATAAAATAAACAAACACATATTAAATACATAATGATTTAGTATTGAAATATTTTTTAAAATTGATAGACATAAATTTTTATAAAATAAAATAAATTAAAATATATAAATCTACATACTCACTTATTTTAGTGAGTAATTACCTGAGTCCATACTCGTATCTATTTTTATGGGTTTTTACTTACCTATTATGAATTTTTTGCGAGTGCCCACTACGGATGAGTCAAATTGTCATTCCTACTCGAGGAGGTTTTAACTTGTCACCCCATAATTTCAAAATTTCAAAACTATCACTGACAAAAATTTGAAACAAATTTTCGTACAAAATTTTGAGTATACAAATAAGAATTTTCGTACAAACTAAATTTTCAGTATACCAAAATTCCTGAAATTTATGTGAATTTGCAAATATAACCGGAAATTCTAAAAGTACCATTTTATACCGAAAATTTCAACCTAAGTGAAATTTCCTGTAGTGTTATTTATTTGAAATTTTAAATGTTTAGGATTTCGCCAGCAGTTTTGAACGGTTGTGATTACACCGACAGTTTTGTGTGGTTCAGAATAAATGCAAAGTTGTATAATAGGAGGGTCACCTGTTGTTTGATAAAAACATCTCAAAATATCTCTTCCTCAATTTTTGATTAAGGCAGAAGTGTAGTTCAACGAAGCTTCACCTCCCGTAGAATTTCGGTTTCTGTATGGCACCACATCTCTTGCCTCCTTGACATCCAAGTTGAACGAATTGTTGCCTGATACCTAAAACAAAAAGGTGAGAAAAATTGAGTTTCGTGAAGATTGGATTGTTACTGATGGAATGGTGAAATACAACCTTATTGAGTTGAAGAATGATGAAAATGTGAAGGATATGTGGAGATCATTTCCCCGTAAGTTAACAAAGGGTACGATCGGGTTAAATGCTAAGATTTCAAGGTCTGCCTACGACATAATTAAGATGATGAAACGTCAAGAATCATCTGATAGTGTCTAGGTTTTCTTATTCATTATCATTTTTTTAAAATTATGTTTAAGTTATGTTAACCATTGTCAAATGCTAATTTATGTTCACGTTACATCAATGGAAGACAAAAATATTATCTAATAAATTTTTTTGATGAAGATGTATGAGTAATGTTACATATAATATACAAATAATACATAAAGATAACAATAATGTCTAAATAGGTCCCCCACGGGCTATGTGTATAGCACAATAATCCAATATAAACCTCACAATTTGGATTTATCAAACCCATAAGGTTATCCATAATAACTGCAATCATCTAGAGATGTTGCTGGTCATCGACATCAATTATAGGCGGCGGTGGCAGCGACACGTCATTGATAGGTACTGTTGCAGTGAGAATCGTGATACCAAGCTATTGATTAACTTGAATCTTTAATTCTTTGAATTCACAACCGAATTTTAATTTATCCAAAGGAAAGGTCTAAAGAGAGAAAGAACCTTTTGCGCGATGTAACGACAACGCTAAGAGATTCGGGGATCGGGGGTTGGTTATGCATAGGGTAGGTATTTCACATCCTAAACGTCTGTAGTACTCTACAGGAACCTTTTGTTTGTTTGCATGCTAAGTTTTGCTAAATGTTTGCTATGGATTGGGGATAGGTTAAAAGTATAGGTCAAAACCTAAAGATATATACACTAAGTTTGCTTGCAAAGACATCGCGTCCTCTGCCTACGTATCCTAACTAGGATAGAATCAGAGCAATCGTAGTTCACCTCACAAAGGTCGAAGAACACTTGATTATGATCAAGGTTCAAAGGGGAACAAACATTACAATGCTTGTGTAGAGTTTAAGAAAACTCTCTAGCTCTAAGTTGAACACTCAAGAAAGGGAAGTAAGTAATCATGACGATGATTCTTACATAGAGTTAACAAACTCTATCCTAAATTCTAGTTGAAAGAGCACTCCTAACAAGGGTAGGCTTTTTAGACTTAAGCAAAGTCCAATGGACAGGTTCTACTTAACTAAGCGTATGAATGACTTAACGAAGTTGAGGGAAGAAGATGAGCTATCTATGACCCAAGGGTCAACAGAGAGGCTTTCCTTTGGAAGGATAGAAGGGGAGGCAACCTGGATGAGAACTAAAGAGTTCCATCACTTGGGGAAACTAAACTTAACAAAGCATAGACATTTAAACAAACATGATGAGCACAAGAATCATGGTTACAACCAAGCATATACAAGCATGTTACAACAAGCAAGTATGTCAAATAGGAGGAATGGTTATAACCAAAGCATGCAAGCGTATGACAATAGGCAAGCAAAAATGAGTTCTTACAAGACTCAATGAAAGATGAAGGCTTAAGCATATCTTGACAAAGACGAAGGTAACGACCAATGCAAATAAATTAAACATCACGGGGAAATTACATGGAAAGCAAATGAATCAAACATCATGCTTACAAGCAACAATTAATTACAATTACATCAAGGGTTTGACAAACATAGAGCTCACATTAAGCACAACAACAAACAGGAGAAGAATGAATCAAAAGCTTGAAACGATTAGGAGGGTAAAAAACCCTAAAAAGAAATATGAGCGTTTCCAATGCAAAATTGTTTTCACAAATAAAAAATTATAGAATGTTAATGCACCTCATGAAAATATGTACAAATACGAGACCAATGCAAAAAGAACCGATCAAAAATAATAAACGATGAGAAAGTTACGATTTTTATAAATTAATAACAATTAACATAAAAACAAGGAAAATTAATGATAAAAAGAAATGGGGCGCCTAGTGGGTGCTGAACCCAACACCCTTTGAATAAAAATTCAAAATCATGCCAACTGGGCTAGGGCGCGCGTTTGTGAATGAAATGGAAGGAAACACAAAAAATAATTAAAACAAGGCAAAGTGGAAAAAAATAGCAAAATGGGTTAATCTCCACTGTGGATCGAACCCA